ATAGAAAGCCCAAAAATCAACCCATAGTTACAGGGTCAATTAATCTTTGACAAAGGAGGCATGAATATACAATGGGGGAAAAGACAGTCTTAATAAATGTTGCTGGAAAACTGAACAGCTACATGCAAAAGAATGAAAGTGGACCCATTCTTATACTATACACAAAAATAAACTCAAAATGGATTAAAGACCTAAATGTGAGACCTGAAACCATAAAACTCCTAAAAGAAAACACAGGCAGTCATCTTGGACATCAGGTTTAGCAACATTTTTCTAGATGTGTCTCCTTAGGAAAAGGAAACAAAAGCAAAAATAAACTCCTGACACCTCATTAAGATAAGAAGGCAACCTATGGGATGGGAGAAGATATCTGCAAATGATATATGTGATAAGGGGTTAATATCCGACATGTATATAGAACGCCTACAACTCAAAACCAAAAAAACCAAATACTCCTATTAAAAAATGGGCAGAGGACCTGAACATGAAAAAATGTTCAATATCACTAGTCATCAGGGAAATGCAAATCAAAACCACAATAAGATAACCTCAGACTGGTCAGAATGGCCAATATCAAAAGGACAAGAAAAAACAGGTGTTGGCGAAAATGTGGAGAAAAAGGAACCCTCGTGCACTGTTGGTGGGAATGTAAATTGGTGCAGCCCTTGTGGAAAACAGTGTGGAGGTTCCTCAAAAAATTAACAGTAGAACTACCATATGATACAATAATTCCACTACTGCGTATTTACCCAAAGAAAATGAAAACACTAATTCAAAAAGATATATGGGGGCGTCTGGGTGGCTCAGTAGGTTAAGCAGCCAACTCTTGATTTCGACTCAGGTCATGATCTCAGGGTCCTGGTATTGAGCCCCACAGCAGGCTCTGCACTGGGCAGGGAGAGTGTGTTTGAAGATTCTCTCTCACCCTCTCCTTCTGCACCCCCCTCCACCACTCGCATGTGCTCTCTCTCTAAACTAAATAAATCTTAAAAAAAAAAAAAAAAGATATATGCACTCTTGTGTATACTGCTGCATTATTTATATTAGCCAAGCTGTGGAAGCAAACTCAGCGTCCATCCTGATAGATGAATAGATAAAGAAGATATTACACACACACACACACACACACAATGGAATATTACTTAGCCATAAAAAGAATGAGATCTTGCCATCTGTGACAACATGGATGGATCTAGTGAGTATTATGCTAAGTGAATTAAGTCAAAGACAAAGACCATTGATTTCACTTATATGTGGAATCTAAACAGAATCAGACCCATAAATACGGAGAACAAACTGATGGTTGCTGGAGGGGAGGGGAGTCAGGGAACGGGCAAAATGGGTGAAGGGGAGTGGGAGGTCCAGGCTTCCAGGTATGGGATGAATAAGTCACGGGACAAGGCACAGCAGGGAATATAGTGAATGGTATTGTAATAGTGCTGTGTGGTGACAGGTAGTGGTTACACGTGTGGTGAGCACAGCGTAAGTACAGACTCGTCCAATCACTATGTTGTACACTCGAAACTAACACAACATTGTGTGTCAACTATACTTCAACTTAAAGAATGACTGAATGAATACATGAATGGCTCTCAGGCTCCTGCTTTACATTCAGGCTCTTACCAGCTATGTGACCCTGGGCCAATCTTTCCAGCCGCAGTTTCCCCAGGTACAAAATGGAGAGAACACTGCCACCTATGTCTTGGGAGTTGCGTGGGGATTAAATGAGACAATGCACAGACAGCATTCAGCACAGTAAAGATGTTAGCCTTCACTCCGAGTCTGCAGCTGTTGCTTACTTCCAATAGCAACTCTTTTCTCAAGTGTGTTCAAGGTATCTGAGTTGAAATGGTTTCATTAACCATTAGAAAAATGGGTCTACAATGCAGGAGATACAGAGTTGGAAGTCATCAGTAATATATTAATAGTTGAAACCATGAGAGGGGATAAGATGGACACAGGGAAAGCTTTCAGAATAGTAGTATGCCAAGACAGATGGGAGGAAGGAGCTCTAGAAAGAGACTGAGAAGGAACTGGATGCAGAAGCAGAAGAGACTGGTGACCTGGAGGCAAAGTCAGGAGAGAAGGTGGATAGTGGCATTAAATGCTGCACAGGTAAAATAAAGACTAAAGACAACCCTGGATTTGGCAATAAGAGGATCGCCACGGACCTTTACAAGAGCAGTTTCTGTGAAATGGTAAAGAAGCAACGAGAGTGCAATGGAGGAAGGCATGCGGAGGTGAGGGAATGGACACTGGAGGAAAGAGAACTCTTTCAGGAAGTTTAGAGATAAAGAGAAAAGTGAAAAGAGTGGGATATGTGGGGGGAAGGGAGGCCTGACACTATTTCTAGGCAGAGGGAAAAGAAGATAAAGGTAGAGGATGACAGGTGACCACTGACTGGGTGAGGCCTTGGAGGAAGGAGGAGGAGACGATACTCTGGACCCTGGTAACAGAAAGGTGCAGAATAATGCTTCTCAGACTTTAATATGCATATGAGTGACCTGGGGGGGGGTTAATTAAAATGACTCTGATTCGGAAGGCCTGGAGTCAGGCCTAGAATTCTACATCTCTAACAAGCTTGCAGGTGATACTGACGCTACTTGCCCACAGATCACACTCTGAGCAGTACGGGTGTAGACCATCTCTTCCTCTGTCACAGAAAGGCAGACAGAAGGGAGTCATAAAGGGAGACAAGTTGTGAGAGTTTTGCTGTATGCACACTGAAGCCAGCTGGCATGAAGACAGCAGGTGGGATAAAAAGAAAATCAAACGAGTCAGGTACTCAAGCCTTTGGTGACTGTTAACAGGACGGTTCCCAGGAGGACTACCAGCAAAGGTAACAATAGAGGACTCTTTACTGGAAAGAGGTCAAGAGAAGAACGACACTTAGAGGACAGAGTAAAGCTGAGTGGCTAAGAGGGATAAGGGAACAATCAGAATCATAAATGGGGAGTAATTTTGGATAAGTGCATGAAGGAGGAGTTGAGAGGTAAACAGTACTGACAAGAATAGTCAAGCACTCAGCTGAAACCAGAATCTCAAAGAAGAAGAAGAAGAATGTATTTCGTGGATTACTGTTTCAAAATGATTTGCCCTATCCAATTAGTCTTCATAGAGAAAAGACTAACAGAAAATGCCCAGGGGCAAAATGTGCCTTCACAAACACTTTTTTTTTTTTTAAAGATTATATTTATTTATTTGAGAGAGAGCATGAGAGGGGGGAGGGTCAGAGGGCGAAGCAGGCTCCCTGCCGAGCAGGGAGCCCGATGCAGGACTCGATCCAGGGACTCCAGGATCATGACCTGAGCCGAAGGCAGTCGCTTAACCAACTGAGCCACCCAGGCGCCCTTCACGAACACTTTTAAGTTAACAGAGGTTAATAAAAGTTAAGATCAAAGACATCCAGATGGCCAAAAGACGGATGAAAAAAATGCTCAACACCTCTCATCATCAGGGAAATGCGTATCAAAACCACGGTGAGATATCACTGCGGACCTGTCAGAATGGCTAGAATCAAAAAGGTAAGAAGTAACAAGTGTTGGCAAGGATGTGGAAAAAAGGAAACCGTTGTGCACTGTTGGTGGGAATGTTTATAAACTGGTGCAGCCACTGTGGAAAATAGTATGGAGGGCCCTTAAAAAGTTAGAAATAGTGGCAATTCCACTTCTGGGTATTTATCTGAAGAAAATGAAAACACCAATTTAAAGAGATACATGCATCCCTATGTTCACTGCATTATTTACAACAGCCAAGATATGGAAGCAGCCCAAGCATCCATTGATAGATGAATGAATAAAGATGTGGTGTATATGTACAACAGAATATTACTCAGCTGTAAAAAAGAATGAGATCTCACCATCTGTGACAACATGAATGGACCTAGACGGTATTATGGTAAGTGAAACAAGTCAAACAGAAAGACAAATACCATACGATTTCATTTGTACGGGGAATCTAAAAACCAAACCAAAACAAACAAAATAAAACAAAACACAGAGTCCCAGATATAGGAGACAGACTTTGGTTACCACCAGAGGGAGGGGTTGAGGAGTGGGCGAAGTGGGTGAACTAGGTGAAGAGGACTGAGAGGTACAAACTTCCAGTTATACAAGTCAGTCACAGGGATGCAAAGTCCAGCATAGGGAATAGACAATAATATCGGAGTAACTTTGTATGATGATGGACTGGAACCAGACTATCACAGTGAACATTTAGTAATGTCTATAGATACGGACTCACTGTTGTGCACCAGAAAGTCATACAATACTGTATGTCAACTACACAACTACACTTTAAAATAGAGTTAACAAAATTCAAAGTGGACAAGTCTTCCCCTTCTGTACTTTAAATACCAGTCTTCACGTATTGTTGGAATACCTAAATGTTTAAAGTCCCTGTGGGTACATTAAAGTACAAACTGCTTCTAGGAAAGAAGCCGCAGTATGAAATCCCCTACTTTGAACGTGCCGTCTTATAATAAAAGAAATACAGCTGTAAAATTTTGAGATGGCATTTCATAATTTCAGTATTTCACACCGTCCTTTTTAAAAGACTGTCAAGTTGTTGTAGTCCGTTTAAAAAAGAAGAGACCAGGGGAGGGGGGTCGGGGGATGGGTTAGCCCGGTGATGGGTATTCAAGAGGGCACATATTGCATGGAGCTCTGGGTGCTATACGCAATGAATCATGGAACACTACATCAAAAACTAATGATGTAACGTGTGGTGATTAACATAACATAATAAAAAAAAAAATAAATAAATAAATAAAAAAGGAGAGACCTGTTGCTAGAGTCCAAACTGAGAGGCGGGTGCACTGCCCCCCGTTTCTCTTGCGTTCTCAGACCCTGGGCAGCCGATCATTCACCCGGGCGCTGTGCGGGCCCTCCCATGAGGCTGCGAGCCTCCCTCCGTGTGCTAGGACAGGGTTTACTGGCGCTGGCTCTGAAGCGCCATGGCTTCCAGGTTAGAAGGTGAGTGTGACCGCACACCGTCCTTACCCCTTCACTGGTTTTCTGCAAGTCTGAAGTCGTGTTCCGTGTGTCATTGCCAGCGTCTCCGCCCTCAGAGCTGCTTTTGTTTTCCTCTTCTTTGCAGTCCTTGTCATCTTCATCTCCTGGAGATTTCCGGGACTGTTTAGAGGATTTCTAAACGTTCGGACAAGTTAAAAATTATAGTCAAGAGTACAACTCCAATGCACAAGTGTAAGTAAGAAACGCAGAAGTGGTTGGCCTACATCCAGTCATGGGGCTCGCCGCGGGACAGACCAGTACAACGGGGCGGTGTGCGGAGGCTGGGCCAGGTGACCTGGGACAGACCGAGCCACCTCACTGGGCCTCAGTGTAACCAGCTGGAAAAGGAGGTACAGGTGTACTCGATGACCTGTTCGTTCTTTCCAGCAGCACAATGTTAAAAGCAGAAAAGAAAGAGTCATGTCCCCAGAGCACTGCCAACGGGTGAATGATAGCTGGGTGGACAGCACGGCACCACCTTAGGAGGCTACAGAGCTACAAGGCTTCCCCAGCATCTCACGGTAGAAACTCAGGTCCAGAGAGTGAGGTGAATTATCTAAGATAACAGATGAATATTCATGTTAAGGTACCTGTTGAAGCTCTTTGGTTAAGAGCAGACATTTATATCACCATGTGATAGAAACGAACTTTAATCTTTTAAATTACGGATGGTTTTTGAAGGGCCCGAGGGAACCAGCCCTTTTTTCTTATCGCCTTGCCTTTGAAATCAAGATGAACTCTAGGGAAGATGAAAATAGAGTTCTAGTTTACAGCCAGAGTTGTTTTGCAGAACAGCATTAAAATGATCAAAAGCCGGCCCTGCTGTGCACCTTTAAAAAAGAAAGTAAAATGTACCATTTCACTAACATGTCCTCTCAGGAATTTTAAGAATCTTTAAGCACATGGCAAATAAGAGCTGAGGCAAAACTGATTTAGCCATGTCACTTCTGGTCTTCCAGAAATGAACTAGCAAACTGGAGCTTCCTCACACAATCAATATTTTAAATACAACTTGCGAAGAGAAAATATCTTCTAGCTATGTGACAGAGCATGTAATTACATTGCTTCTATTTTACTTAACTGAAACCACCAACCAAGCTCAAAATGTCAGTTTAAAAAATGAGGTCATCTTTACTTTTTACAGGATGGAAAAGCAGAGATTTAATCATCCAAATGTGGCATGTCTACAGTCAAAGCTAACACCAAGTATGACAATACCAAAAGCACACTACTTTTTGTTCTTCTAGTAAATACAGTATAATTATTGAAATGTAGTGAATGCTTTATGTAGTAATTCTCAAATAATAGTCTCTGGCCTACAGTTCTTAGAGGTAATGATACACAACTCCCTGAAGTTCACAAGGCTCACCAAGGATCCTAACGAGCAACCCCACAGTGACCTATCTGTAAGTACCAGAGTCTGGCACGTGGACCAGAATTAGGGCCCTACTGCAGTTCTGCTCAGAGTCACACTCAGTACTTAAAGAAATCTGGCTGCCCGGCGAGCTTTGGTAAGCCCGCAAACTCAAGATCACGGCAGTTCTTGTGATGCTGGAAAAGGACCCTCCATCTGTCTCAGCACTCTAGTCTTGAATTGGTTGTGTGTCTAACTGTTGCCGCCTTTGTTTTTTTTAACTAAAATGACTAGTGGTTTAGCATCATCACCAGTTTACTGTCTTGTGAGGCTCTCTGGTTTGCCCTGCTTTATACAGTAAGTAACGTGCGTGCAATATATTCTGACCTGTAATTTTCCAGTATCTGCTATGGCTCAGATATGAATCATCCATATACTTACTGCCAAAGAGATACACACATAACTTCCTTCAAATCTGCTTTTTGACTGAGATGTAGTTAAAAGTTTGTGAACCACTGGTTTTCAGTGGCAAAGGAAGACTATTCAACCTTAAGAAATAGGTGTAAAAAAGATCACCATATTCAACAAAAAGGAAACATTTGGGAAGCCAAGGAGAAAGGAGATTATGTCAGGAAAGTGCTTCTCTACATGTGGTTCCCAGATCAACAGCATCAACCTTACCTGAAAATTTAATTCTCGGACCCCACACCCAAGGCCTACTCAAACAGAAATTCAGGCAGTGAGGCTTAGCGATGTGTGTTTTAACAAGCTCTCTGATGCGTATGTAAATTTGAGAACCACTGTGCTAAGTTTCTCAGTCAATATTAAAAATAAAAATCATTTATGTGTGGGGCACCTGGGTGGCTCAGTTGTTAAGCATCTGCCTTCGGCTCAGGTCATGATCCCAGGGTCCTGGGATCGAGCCCCGCATCGGGCTCCCTGCTCAGTGGGAGGCCTGCTTCTCCCTCTCCCACTCCCCCTGCTTGTGTTCCTGCTCTCGCTATCTCTCTCTCTGTCAAATAAATAAATGGAATCTTTAAAAAAAAAATCATTTATGCATTTCCAAAGTTTTTGTGTTTGTGCATAATTTGTCTTGACAATAAATAAAACAGTAAAAAGTCAAAGAAATTTAAAAATCATGGTTCTTAAGTGATCATGGAAGTTGTGATCTTGAAGGAAAAGAAGAAAAAAAAAGATGATCCCTTAATCTAAAATAGATAAACCTTAGTAAGTAAAGTTTGTCTTTACCCCTTCACTGCTTTAAATTATATTTCCACATCAGGTCTGAGCCCCATGACTTCTGGTCTTCACAACAAGCAAGGAAATAATGACGTTGAAAAGCTGCATATCCACAAGCAAATGCCTCAGATACCTCAGGTAGCTTAGGTAATTCAGAAGGGTACAACACATCATACAGCTCAGCAGGAAATCATAAATTAAAAATATCAACTGAATTGGGTATTTAAATGAAATCCAAAATACTAAAAAAAAAATTCAGCTTAAAAAAATGCATTGGAAGATACAGTCTGACGACGAAAATTCCAATTATTTTGTTGTGATTTGCAAACTTTATCCCCATCCAAGGCAGATACCGTGTTTTTCATTGGGTGCACGGGAAGTAATGTGTAATCATACAATTTCACCTGTATGCAAGTTGGGTGGATTTTATAGATCGTAAAATAATATGCTGATAATCCAATCAACTCCTGGTGCTTGGTTTTTAAGGAGTTGCCTAAGTCTGTCCAGCCACTAAATACCAGAATCTAAAGGGAAGTAATTTATCCAAGTATTCAATCGTGTGACAGACCAATTATAGTGAAACCTGTACCAATTTCTGGTCTTCAAAGATCTATTTATCTTGCCCATCTTTCTAAAGGTGAACAATGTTCACAATCTCATAGTCTGTTCAACTGCATGTCTGAATTACTGTATGAAAAACCTAGACTTTCAATGTAAATCTAGGATCATGTCACTCCTGTTTAAAGCCTTCAATAAATTACCATCACATTGGGAATAAATCCAAATTCCTTAATGTGGCACCCAAGTCTCCATCACTGAGCCTTTGTCTGCCTCTCCCTTTTGGTCATGATCCCCAACAATGCTTGTCTTCTTTCAATTCAGGACATGCCAGACCCTTTTTGCCTCGGATCTTGGTTGCTCTGCCCCACCCAGCCCTCCTCCCCTGCTCTTTCTTCAGCCCTCGGTATAAACTTTGCCTCTTTAGAAAAGCCTGGCCACCCTATCTGAACCACATGCTCTTCCCACTCATTGCCTTCAGAGCCCCCTCATAATTTATATTTATTATTCACAGTCTTTAAAGCAGAAAGACAGATTAAGAGTACATCTATTTACATAGACTTGTCCTGAATGGTACTGAGTCTCCTATATTCCTAAATTCTTCAGAGTTCATTTGGAGGTTCTTGTAGGAGGCATACCTACTCTTGTACCCTTGATGAAAGAACAGTCCTTCTCCAACTGAGAAGTGGTATTTTCAGTGCCAGATCAGCTCTGAAGATGCCCTCACATCTAAGGTTACCTGTCCTATTCCCCTTGGCTATCTTATGGTCTCTAGAGGCAGAGGTCCACAGAACTAGGATACTTCTGTGCGCCCAAGGAATGAATTAAGAATAATCTAAAACCTTAATGAACATGCATATAACATTAATAACAATGGAAAAGGTTCTCAGTCACCTTTGAAGTGTAGGACTTTTTCCGTTTTGAGCCCGCTTTTTCATTCTTTCTTTTGCCTTTTCCATCTTCTTCTACTCTATCCCCTTCTTCCTCACTGCTTGCATCTGCAGTATTCCCACCTTCTCCCTCAGTTTCTGAGGAGCTCTGCTGCTGAATTGCCTAGGAAATAGCAAGATATTGGCTAATTACATTTTTGAAAAACATAGCAAAGAATACAGACTGTGAAAAGAATCATTCTATTTTAATCTGAAAGGGTTCAGCTTACTCTTAAAATTTTCAAAATAAAGGACCGTCAACTTCAATTTTCCAGTGACCACTTGATTTGAACCCTCTTGAGTAACAGAATTACATTTAATCCAAAATGTTACTGGAGTTAAAAAGAATTCTGATTTCAAATAGATGGAGGGTAACTACTAGTACAAAGGACAGGTAAGAAAGACCCCAAAGAGAGTTAAAAACCAAAGAAATGAGATCTAACAATGAAGCAAACCATTACCTGGTACCCAGTAAACTTCACTCCCGGGTTATTCTCTATTTCCCACAATCCTTCATTAAATCCTTTCCGTTTGTTTGACTTTCCAAACTTGTCTTTGTATTCCTTATATGGAAAAAGGTCTTTCGGACCTAAAAATGCACTGCAGAGATATATTAGAAATAGAATTGACACTTTGACCTTCAAATATAAGCTATTTTTAATATCAGTATCAACTAAGGTATCACAGCATATTTTAGTAAACAAAGTATATATAACCCCTCTGAGTTGGGCACATATCATAAAATAGTTTACATATATATGGAGCGCCTGGGTGGCTCAGTCGGTTAAACGTCTGACTTTGGCTCAAGTCATGATCTCAGGGTCCGGGGATGGAGCCCTGTTGGGCTCATGCACTCAGCGGGGAGTCTGCTTCTTCCTCTCCCTCTCTCTCTGACACTCCCTGCTCGTACTCTTGCTCGCTCTCTAATAAAATCTTAAAAAAAGTTTATACATATGCTTCTAGGCAGGAAAACTGGATAGCTGGCTATATAAGCCAGCAACTCTAGACTGTGGTACTTTTATTTTACTTTTAAATTACCAATTTATTTTTTTGTTTTAAAACTGACTTTTAGTTACACACATAGTGTTAAAGATGTCCAAACGTTGACCACTTAAATCATCATCTTAAACTAAGACTTACTTATGTTAACCTTCCACTGGTAAGGTTTTGTGAGATTTACAGTAAAAATATAAACACTGGATTACAAAAGTGATTTTAACTCTATATATCACATTAGTATATTTATTCACTATTATTTCTATAAATTAAAAAATCATATTAGTGATTAATGGGGCACAAATAAGAAAAAAATCAGATCTAGCAAATAGAATGTTATGCAATTTAAACTTTATCCTAATTTAATCATAACCAGAAAAAGGAAATGAGTTCGAGTAAATCCTGGGACTGGCTAAAAGATCTGAGCATTCAAACTAGAGTCTCTTCAGCATTGTCACCTATAACATATTAACCTGGTGAATGAGATGGTAGAGGCCCATACCCTGGCTGACACCCAAGAAGCTTACATTTCAAACTAAGAGTCACAGATCCTTCCATTTGACAAATCTGACTGAACATCTATAATGTGTCAGGCACTGCTGAGGTGTGGCGAATTCTGTAGGGAACCCACGGACGACTGTCTCTACCCTCATGGAGCACACATTCTAGGAGTGCGAGTAGGGTTTGGACAAACACAGAGAAGAAAAAACACAGTACTGTGTGCTCACATAAATAAAGCAGAGAAGGGGATGGCAAGACTGGGGGTGGATCTGGTTATTTAAGATCTACTGATCATGGAAGGCCTCCCTGAGAGGGGAGCATCGAAACAGCACAGGAGGTGAGGAAGCAGACCGCGCAGTCTCCGGGGGGAGAGGGCAACAGACCCAGGGAAGAGCGAGTACAACAGGCCCCGAGGTGGGGGTGCCTGCCGTGTTGAAGAAACGAAGCGGCCAGCGTGCCTAGAGTGAGAGCAGGATGAGAGGAGGTCAGAGAGGGGACCGGGAGGTGCAGATTATGTGGGGCCTTGAAGGTTGCTACTGAGGCTCAGAGACAGACGGGCAACCATGAAAGGTTTGAGAAGAGAAGTGACGATCTGTGTTTTAATAGGATCCTTCTAGCTGCTGTGCTGGAAACAGACTGAGGAAGTGGGCACTAGGGTAGAAGCAGGGAGACAAATCAGCCCACCACAGGGATGGTGGTGACTCGGACCAGGGTGTGCGCGGTGCAGTGGGTGAGGGGCTGCTGGATTCTGAATTCACGCTCAAGAAAGAGCCGACGTGACTGTCAATGGGCTGGAGATGGCGTGTGGGAGAAAGGAAGGAGGTGAGGCTGTCTCCAAGGTGTCAGGCTGAGAAATGAGAAGAACAGAGGTGGCACTTACTGAACTGAAAGATTTTTGAGAGAACCAGACTTGAAGGTGAAAAGCTCAGTTTGAGATGTTAAGTTTGAAACCCTGGTTTGACATCCAAGTGAGGAGGTCAAGTAGGCAGTTGGAGAGGTAATTCTGGAACTCAGGGGAAAGGTCTGAGCTGGAGATATAAAAGCTCTGGGACTGTGAGGTAACAGTTTACTGTTAATCTTCATAAATTCCATTTTCTGGGCAACCCTCTCGGGTCCCCTCCCTCTTCAGGAGCTTTGTACTATCGCTTGATGCTATTGCTTAATAAACTTTGCTTCCCACCAAAATATAGATATTTTATACATATATATTTATATATACACACACACACATATATATTTAAATTCCATTTTCTGACTGGGTCTTAGTACTGATTCCTCATTGCCTAGCTGATCAAAAACTTCAAGTTGATAAAAATACCTGCGGAAGCTTTCTGAGCCCAACCGCCAAAACTCCCTTGACCTTTAATTGCTTGGTCAACACGATTCTCTCATTGAATCCAGACATAATTTATTAGGTTACTGGACATTTTAATCAAAGGCATGTCACTGTCTTGCATGACAAATGGAACATGAGAAAGAAATGGACTTCGGGTATGTCCATTTTACTTTTCGAAAAGTCTGTCACGCGCTATTAGACTATGGTTTTTGACCTTTCTCCAGCATTTGACTCTGCGTGTAGGAATTAACTACGGGCTAAGCTGCTGAGGTTCCCACCAGTTACTGCTGCTAACCAGAGCTTGCCTGTACTTTACTGAGGCAGGGTTAATGGTTCAAATGGCCATGGCAGCCGCTGCCAAAAACAAGAGCCCTGAATGTACTGTTCTAAAACAACGTATTTTTGATACATAACCTTGTTCTTTCCTAGATTATAGAAAGATATTTCCTCAAATCAAATTTTCTCCCAATTGGTTAACTTTCCTGCATGTTTCACAAATCTTAAAGTGTAGGCCAAGAAATAAAATTGTTCAAAGCTCCATGCTCTAAGGATATTATTTTTTTTTCTCCTGGCCAAGGCTGCCTTGAAAAGTGTCCAGGCTAAAACCGCTGGGGTGGTAATGTGGAGCAGAAGAATTTGGGGGCTCCAGTGACCTATCTGTCTGGGCATTAGAGTAAATTCAAGTCGATGTTCTGAGGAAAATTCTAGTCTGCGTGGGGGTGCTCCTCTGGCTGACCTGCACACAGCTTTCTTGCTAAGTTCCTCACCTTTCATGTATTTTTTCTCCCTTTCATTTATTTCATTTTAATTTAATTAAATTTTAATTCATCCATTCAGCTATTATTTTAAACACTTACCATTAGCCAGGCACTGTGCTAAGCACTGTGTCCACAGGAGTAAGCAACCCCTACATGATCTCTGCCTCCACAGAGAGGCTGAACTTTAGGTACCTGCCCAGGCATACAGTCTCAGGTTCAGGGACACCCAATACCTAAGAAACGCTCTGCTGAAACAAACTTATGGCAGGTTTTGTGAAATTCATTTTCCTCTAGATGTTTCAAAATCTACCTTTGGATGATCAAACCAGCAAAAAACCCACATATGGACGATATTATACTGCTCCGTGGTAGAACTGGGTTTACTGAATTGAGCCTTGGAATGATGCCACTGGCTTCTATTAAGGATGCTGTAAAAAACAGCTCTGTGAAACCCTTCACACTGTTCGCTGAAATGATCCTGTTACATTCACCAGCAATATACCAGGTGGAAACTCTTTAGTTATGTAGCGCTTTCAGGAATGCCTAGAAAATGTTTAGTAAGTAAATAAAAGTGACCACATAATGTTAGTAAATGGTTGATTTGTCCTATATACTGGAAATGTGATAATCTTGTTTATTAAATCCTGCCTGGTTCCAGGAATACAATCCAATCATTTGGAAATAGGTCCTAGACAAAAAGCACAATAATGATATAGATGTAAACTGGAGACAGGAATGGGGCAAATAGAAACATATGTATCACAAAGCCCTTTGCACTTGTTACAGATAAAACATGTCCAAGCTTTCTAGCGATCTCTATGGAGGAAAACATGGTGCATAGTATGTACACAGTGTCTATCAGATAACAACAAAAGAAAATAAAACCAACTTTCTGAAAAAAACAATTATTTCTCACATGAAGCCAAGAAATAAATATGTCTTAAGGGCCTTCTGTCTCCTGGCTAGCTCGCTTTCTTTTTTTTATTTTTTTTAAAGATTTTATTTATTTTTATTTAGAAAGAGAGAGAACATGAGTTGGGGGAGGGACAGAGGGAGATGGAAAGAGACTCTCTAGCAGGCTCCGCGGGGAGCATGGAGCCCAATGCAGGGCTCGATCTCATGACCCTGAGATCACGACCTAAGCTAAAATCAAGAGGTGGACACTCAACCAACTGAACCACCCAGGCGCCCTGTGGCTAGCTTTTTCCAGATAAAAATGAAGAAGATGTCAGACAGGCAGACACTGCAAGCTAAGAAAAAGTTCACGCCTGGCTCTACTCTTTCAAATGAACACAAGGGAGGATCCTATATTTGAAGAGTTGTAAAATTTCATGACAGTTTGTAGCTTTCCCCCCCCACACATGCAATTCCTTTTTTTTTTTTTTTTAAGATTTTATTTATTTATTTAACAGAGAGAGAGAGAAAGACAGCAAGAGAGGGCACACAAGCAGGGGAAGTGGGAGAGGGAGAAGCAGGCTTCCCGCTGAGCAAAGAGCCTAATGCGGGGCTCGATCCCAGGACCCTGGAATCATGACTTGGGCCAAAGGCAGACGCTTAATGACTGAGCCACCCAGGCACCCCCACACATGCAATTCCTATTCCATTTATGTCCTTGCTCTGATTGACCATACACATTTTTACTGTGTACTCCTTCCAATTGTTTCCCCATTAAGAGTTGCCCAGCTAGAGGATATGTTTCCCAATTCCTGACAGCAGCATGTGGCCAAATGACTGAGTTCTTGCCACTGCAATGAGTGTGAGTGTAAGTGATATATGCAACTTCCTTGTTATTTCCGTACAAAGAAGTTACCTGCTCTTCATGTTTTCTCTTTCTTCCCCCCTTTCCCTCTACCTGGAAGATGCACAGATGCTGCTGAGCCCCGTTTTGTTTGTTTGTTTTTAAGTAAGCAGACAAGAGCAACACTCCTGGAAATGGCAGGACAATGTGACAGAAGGAACCTGGGTCCCTAGAGCAGAGTAGTCTACCCACCTTGATCTACCTGCCTATCTCTGGATTGTTTCAAAAGAAAGAATTTTCTATATTATTTGAGACACTGTATTTTCAGGTTCCATTATTCAGTAGTTTAGCCTGTAGTCTAACCAATACAATTTTAAAACCTTATTAAGTTGGTATGTTTGCTTCAGGGTTCAACAAATTGAAAAGAACCTGAGACAACATAACTTTGTTGTATGAAATATAAATAGATGAAGTTTCTCTAGAAAGGAAATATATAAGAGCAACAAAAGAAATTACTGGGAGTGGTAAGGAGACTACCCTTTTGTGTCCTAAAGGAGATTCTGGGTGATGTCCAACATTTACACAGAAATAACATTCAAAAGCAAAATGAGTGAAAAATCTTCACATTAAGAAAAATACATTATTAAGCTTGGTAATTTTATATAATTGTGATCCTTTTAATAACATATAAAATGTCATAGATCAGGTATAAACATCGTAGTCTAGTAGATCCAAATTAGAGCTGCTGAAGCTTTAAGTTGTTTTGTTGACTTACGTTTCATGGGTGCCAAAAAAGAAGATAGGATATTTGTTTGCTGGGGGCTTCACAGCTCCCTCTGGGAGTTCATCAATCTGTTAAAGATAAATTTAGTTATTAAATATTCAGTTAAATCATGTAAAATAGCATAAACATGATATAAACATTATTCTGATAACTTCAAAATAAAATTATTCTAATCAAAATCCCAATAATTTTTTTGAACTTTACAAATGATTCCAAAGTTCATATCTGGCCCACCACATGGAGAGTAACACTGTAAATTGATTATAACCATTATGATAATACATAATCAGGAGCCAAAACTACTCATTTCCTTTGACTCAACAGAATTACTGCTAGGAATCTGTCCTAGTGAAATAATTAAAAAGAGTATCAAGAACAAAAAAACCCCAAAAAGATGCACTTTTTGGAGATGACAGTGAATTTTTATACACACACACACCCAGAAACATGTGTTGCACGATAGAGATTATAGAAAATTAACTCAATGCAATATTATATTGTCATTAAAAATTATCAACTCTTGCCTAGACTACTGCAAGTTTCTCTCTCCACCCATTTAAGCTAGAATTACCTTTATTTTATTTTATTTTTTAAGTAGGCTCCACCCCAGCGTGGAGCCCAACATGGGGCCTGAACTCATGACCCTGAGATCAAGACCTGAGCAGAGATCAAGAGTCTGACGCCCAACTGACTGAGCCACCCAGGAGCTCCAGAAATTACCATTTATTTATTTATTTTAATATTTTATGTATTTATTTGTCAGAGGGACAGAGAGAGAGCACAAGTAGGGGGAGTGGCAGGCAGAAGGAGAGGGAGAAGCAGGCTCCCCACTGAGCAAGGAGCCCAATGTGGGACTCAATCCCTGAAGTCAGGACCTGAGCTGAAGGCAGACGCTTAACCAACTGAGCCACCCAGGTGTCCCTAGAATTACCTTTTAAAACAAACATTTGATTATCTCACTTTCTTGCTTCAAATCCTTCTATAGCTTCTCATTGCTTAGAGCATTCTTATCTGTGCATATGAAACCTCTGGAACTTTAAAAAAAATATACTTCAGGGGCACCTGGGTGGCTCAGTTTGGTTAAGCGTCTGCCTTCCGCTCAGGTCATGATCCCAGGGTCCTGGATCGAGCCCCGCAGGGAGCCAGCTTCTCCCTCTACCTCTGCCTGCAGCTCCTCCCATTTGTGCCCTCTGTCAAATAAATTAATAAAATCTTTAAAAAAAAAAAACATACACACGCACATACACACTTCAGTCCTCCCCCAAAGACCTAGATTCTTTTTTTTTTTTTTTTTAAGATTTTTTATTTATTTATTTGTCAGAGAGAGAGACAGAGCACAAGCAGGGAGAACGGCAGAGGGAGAAGCAGGCTCCCCGCTGAGCAGGGAGCCCAATGTGGGACTCGATCCCAGGACCCTGGGATCATGACCTGAGCCGAAGGCAGCCGCTTAACCGCCTGAGCCACCCAGGCATCCCAGACCTACAGATTCTTATGTATAGCTGGGGTTGAGAAACTCTAATAAGATAAAGTTGAAATTCCTTAGTTATATAGTTACATATTCATAAGTCCTTACAGTGTTTCAGGAAATGGTCCTTGACTCACAAATCTCCATCTGCAGCCCCAGCCTTTCCTTTGAACTCCTATAATTCTGACCGGATTATGTTGAACTGCAGGCATGAAATTGCCGATGTCTACAAACCACTTCCATTTACAGGCCCTCCAAGCAGCTTAAGTTGAAAAGGCTACAAAGAGGAGAAGGGGCACACCTGCAACTCAGAGAGCAAGAGGCAGGGCATGGTAGCCCGTCTCCTGAGGAGCTGTGCAGGCCCCCTTCACTCACACACAGCAGCAGCCTGGGGAGGACACCATCCATCACACGCTCCCTTGGAACCAAGGGAAGCCTGTGTCAGAGCAGACACTCTGTGTGCGGAGTAAAGATGAACTTCGAGTCTGAATGTGTGAAGTCCTGCTTCTGATCTAAACTGAGACATCAAAGGTATCACCTCATTCATCTCTTGGGGCCTTGACTTTCCCATCTGTAAAATGAGATGGCTGCACGTGGCCTCTCAATTTCAAGTCCTGAAATACCACGGCTTGTCTTAAAATGAACTAACGTCCCCTGAATCTGTTTTTGTTTTCTATCTTAATTATTGGTATAGTCTGTTACTAAGAAAGAAACCTTCATCTTTTTATTATTTCCTCAAGCCCCATATTCAGTTTTTCACCTAATTCTCCAGTTCAGCTCCAGACATGTCTCTTAAATTGATCACCATTCCCATGAGTAAATTTAGTTCCCTAAACAAGTTCTCATGATCTTTCAACAAGGCCACTATAGCGGGCTTTTGAAGTATCTCCTTTTCTCCAGGCTTTTTCCCATTACATTCACTATTACCCTAAAAAGACAGTTTAAAATGAGTAATTTAATCTGAATCAATTCACTAAACATTCAATAATGTGTGTATGATAATATATGGTAAAAATCACAACATAAAAATTTCCATCTTAACCATTTTTACATGTACAGTTCAGTAGTAACAATATTCACATTGTTGTGAAACAGATCTCCAGAAGGTGAATAACTACATTTTTAATGGCCAAAAAATAGAACTTAAATGGAAATGCATGTTAAGTATGTGGTGGGCATACCATTTGACAAAACACCACTGTCATGTTTTTGTCACTCTTATAAAATAAGTGAAAGTAAACAATTTAAAAAGAAATCTTTTAAAATTTTCTTTCCAACAAAAATACAACTTTTGGTTAAACTCTTCTGCTATAATGTTACACAAGTAATATCTACTGTATAAGTCATAAAGTGATGGCCCTTGGGCCATTTCTGACCTGAAGATAAGTTTTGTTTGGCCGATACAGTGTTTTTTATTTTAAACTGAATTAGTTATCAACACTTTAAAACAGGAAGATTCACATTAAAATCCAGATTAATCACTTCTGTGAAAAAAATATTAAAGACAGGGATAAATAAGCATTCCCACAAGGTAACAATTCACCAACATTTTCAAGAGTTGCCACCTTTAGACAAAGTATGTGCCCTCGAGTACGTTACACGCCCACCACGCTCTAGATAATGTTATAAATGCCTGTGTTCTTATTTATATTGCCTACCCGGCCCCTGAAACATATAAGTTTGTGTCCCTATAATAAATACCATCAAAAAATAGTATAACTGGCCTTACCACCATGCTGTTCCCCCCCCCACTCCAAGAAAGAGGTTAAATAATGTGTTGAGACATGTACTCACTGCGTTTTATTGAGTCTTTGTTTTTAACTCTTTTGAAAATTAGACTTTGGCAATTTTGGAATAGATACATCTTCCTGAATCTATTAAAAAATGTACCTTCCAGGGGCGCCTGGGTGGCTCAGTCCTTAGGCGTCTGCCTTTGGCTCAGGTCATGATCCCGGGGTCCTGGGATGGAGCCCCGCATCGGGCTCCCTGCTCAGCGGGAAGCCTGCTTCTCCCTCTCCCACTCCCCCTGCTTGTGTTCCCTCTCTCGCTGTGTCTCTCTCTGTCAAATAAATAAATAAAATCTTAAAAAAAAAATGTACCTCCCACTGTTTCTGGCTCCTACAGTGAAGAGCAAGTGGCAACAGAACTTTATCTTCAGAGTTTGTTTTTCTCTACTGTTTGTTCTCCTGACTTTGTACTTTGTATTTTTACTTTTGTTTCTGGTTCTGGGCTATGTTTGGTTCTGACTCTGGTTTGCACACAGCCAAATGTTATTCCCCATTACAGGATGATGGTGACCTCTTGTCTTTGGGTATGACATGGCAAAAATCTGGTATATCAGTGTTTTAGTTTGTAGAAGAATGTCTTGCTTCTATTAGAAAGAAGAAAAGCCCTTTGGAGACCTAGATCAGTGAATGTGTGTATTCTGTGTTTCCTTTAACCTGGACCTGAAGCCATAAGCTCTCTATGTGTTTGTATTTGACAGTACAAACCCCTCCCTTACCCCTCCCCTTTTGTGATTCTGAAACATTTTTCTACTTCGGGAAAGGGTCTTAACAAATTAGATATAATTTTCTTAAAATAAAAGAGCTCTTTTTATTGGTTTATAGATACTAATATGACTTACAAAAATTTGATATAAAGGAAAAAAATATAAAAACATACATATTTATATATATAAGGTTTCTTTATATATTTGCATATAATATAAAGGAATATAAAAATCTAATATAAACCTAAGAATCCTCAGGAAAAAAAAAATGAATGTATAGTAATTTAAATATGGTAGCCTTGGGCGCCTGGGTGGCTCAGTTGGTTAAGCGACTGCCTTCGGCTCAGGTCATGATCCTGGAGTCCCGGGATCGAGTCCCGCATCAGGCTCCCTGCTCAGCAGGGAGTCTGCTTCTCCCTCTGACCCTCCTCCCTCTCATGCTCTCTGTCTCTCATTCTCTCTCTCGCAAATAAATAAAATCTTAAAAATAAATATGGTAGCCTTATTGTTCTCTATTTATTTGTCTGCTTTGAACATTATAGAGACACTCAGGGGATGTCAGTTGGAGACCAAGCCTCTATCCCTTGGAGTCTACAAGTCTATAGCCCTAAGAGAGGGAGGCAACCTCTTATTTCCTAGAAAACCTCAGAGTTTCATCCCTAGACCTTCACCATTAGTGTTACCTGGGGACTCATTAGAAATGCTAGTTCTCAGTCCAGAACCCTGACCAACTGACGTAGACACCTTGAGAGTTAAGCCCAAGAATCAGTGTTTTAAGAAGCCTCCAGCTGATTTTGAATTACATTATAAGATGTTCCATCCTCTTGCTGTGGTTCCTGTGGGTGGATTGCCTTCATTTCTTGTGATTAATATGAGTCTCAATATATCTGCAGGATTTTTGCACGGAGATTGCAAAAATGCACCAATGCAGGATTGCTTTCCTAATGCTTTAAAATGTATAAAATGTCAACATTTCTATTTTTTATTAAAGGAGTACTTTATTATATTACTAAGAAAAAATCCTTCTCACAGAAACAGGTCAGAGGCATCTCTATAAAAAATCCAAATTTAAGTAATCAAAGTGAACAAATCAGATGTGATAATATTGGTGT